AACCAGAGGTGTCGGGTGGACCCAAACAAGGCCCTCATTGTCCTCAACTGTTTATTATCCATTCCTAGTCGAACGCGTTTAAATTTTCCCTCACACTGGTATTATCAAATGTTCATCTAACATAATCATATAACATAATATTTACCCAGTCTCACTGGCACTCTTAGAATTTTTGTCTTTTTTCTTGTTTGTCCTGCGTTTTTTTTGGGGACTCATTCTGCTTGCTCTTCCAATTAAACGATTTTTATCGACAGTTACAATAATACACCAGCAAAGCAATCAAGGCTGGAACAGAGAATGAAAACTGAAAATATCAATACAGTGCTACCGAAAGGCTCATTGGAACACAACTGTCTGAGTGCACAAAAATTCAACGCAAGGGTGATTTTAGTTTGCGCTTGCGCATTTCATATTTCGATGGATCTGCAAAACGTCGCAGATCCATCGTTATAGATCCACCGATCTCAGCCAATCCTAACCAATGGCGGGAAATTGTCCTTCATGAGTAGCAGCTGCTGGATAATATTCCTTTTCATAAAATCTTTAAAAAAATGAATGATATGTTATGGCAATACAATCTTACAAATTTACATTTCTTTCTTTAGCTTGCATACGAATGGAAGTTATTGATTGTAGGTTCAAATATTTAAAAAAAAATATGCTCAATTTTGTCTTTTTTTTTGGTTTTATGATTATTTATAGCCCCCTTTTTAGAAATTATAAATTGTTGTTGATGATAAAAATAACACCATTTTATTGTTACCATTATTGCAACAGTCAAACTCACAGAGTAATAGCAATTGGATGAACATCCTTTCCGATCGTCTTTTTTTTTCCGATCTTGCTTCGACAGATTATTACGAACCACTGCACCGTTTATGCAAACTTGATATATTGTCAATGCTTTCTCGATTTATTTGAGAGGATATAACGTGTCTCATGCTGTTAAAGTTCTCCTATATTCTGTTAGCATTGTCTCCGAAACAATTGACTCAGTCCACATCTACACGTTCATGTGAACAGTTCGGCATATGCTTTTTGCAATAATATTCCCCTCAAGTCACAACAATGAATAAAATAAATAAAAACATTGAAGAAATTATATACGATGCATGTGAAATGTACCAAATAGATGGAGAGCGTGAAGGCAGCTATATTTTTTTTCTCGACGGATATTCATACCATCGGGAAATTCGTGCTAAAAATTTAACACAGAAACAAAAATTGACTAAATTTCGATGTGCATTTCGTTCCTATTCGAAAAAAGGCTGTACTGCAACAGTAGAAACAATGATCAATGGAAAATTGAGACTAACTGGACATCATAAATGCGACAAAGATGTTCATTTCTTGGAAGAACGCAATATGTACCATACATTGCAACATGAAGCTCTCAATAATCCCGCGCCTCCCCATACAATTTTGAGTGAAATCAGCCTGAGGTATGTATCTGGAGACTGAAAAATTTGTCACATACTAATCCAGCGCGACCATTGGGCATGCTATCCACTTTGCCTGTAATTAAATCCAATCCATTTCAAAGTTGATAAAAAATTCAATATTAGACATTATTTCGAGAAGTCTTATTTCTTCTTCGCTATTTCGGATCAGCTAATTGACGAGTTTATAAATGAAAATGAAGTTCATGAATCTTAGGGCGGATAACAAAGGTTATTATCGATTTTATTACAACGGAATCATTAATTTTCACGGAATTATTAATTATCATCGATAGCTCTTAATCAAATTGATGAAAATGGAAAATTCGAGGGGTATTATAAAAACTGCTCGCTGACTCTTTCAAAATAGAATGCAATATATGCCCATAAATTAAACTGAATGCAATATATCCCCATAAATTAAATCGAATGCTACGACAACTAGAAATAAACATGGATTTTACCGGATGACACAATAGTGAATAATGGAAAAAATTCAATGACTCTACAAAAACGTTACTAAATCAAGTACACCTGATGTTATTTTAAAGACCATAAAGTGTCCTTGTAATTTTATATAAATATTCTCATCCATTTGCTTTGTAAATCTGAAAAAATTTAACCAATGTGGAAATTTCGATGTAAAATAAAAATCACATTTTCACATTCAAAACAGTATCAATCGATGAAAAATGGTAGGAATGACATGAATCACGTATTTTTTAAGGCGTTTTTAATGAGCTTTAAAGAAACTATAAAAGATATTACTATAATATGATAAAAAAGCAAGGGTTATTTCAAAACCCGAAGAAACCGAGAGCGTTACAGTTCGCTTATATGTGGAATCTGATTACTGAGTTACATGTCTTTTCGCTTCTGAAACAAAGCATTGTAATCGATCAAATCTAAGTTTACCATTTTTCATATTCGTGAAACCAATGATTTCAGAAGCTCGAAAATAGAAGATATTTTTTATTTAAAATACAATCAATTTGAAAGAATTTAAATAATACCAAAAAAAACGTTGTTTGTGTATATGTGCACGAGTCTGGCTACCCGCGCGCGTGCTTGTGTATGTGTGTGCAACATTTTTGTCAAACTTCATCTCCAATTGAGCCCTAGTGTACCCGTGAAATTATATAATTTTTGGTTCATGTGGAAGTATTGTTGAACCCTAGTCGTCAATAATTATCAGAATTGAAGTTGGTTATTAATTCAAAAAATTTATAAGTTTCTTGAAAACTCAGTGTCTTAACGATAACTGACCAACAATTGTTATAGAATAATTTCGGGGCCTGTCGCAGGATATTTTACTTCAATTAACTTTGATTAGAGCTTGGAATGACAATTTTAATACCCTACTGTTGAAATCAGGAAATGATTACCATGGCTATGCATGTTGATATTTTTAATGAAAGAGCGGTTGTAATGAAAGAGCGGTTCCTTACTTGCTTTCAGAGCTGAATTCGCAAATGTGAATAGTCGTTTCTCCATATTTCGTGCTGATAGTATCATTAAACGGATACGACGAATATCACGACCAATCCCAAATAATTTACAAGAACTTGGAGAAAGATGCGCCCTTGATGCTACCAATCCTGTCCATAAGCATTACAGGGGACAAGTACAGTTTATAGATACGGACACAAATGAACAAACGGCGTTGATATTTGCATCTGATGACATGTTAATATCGTTGAATTCGGCTCGAAAAATTTTCATCGACGGTGTTATGAAGGTGATGTAAAAAATTTGTCATTAATTTCACTTAATTCACGCAAACTTTTCGAATAAAGTCACGGATAAGTCAAGAATCAGGGTTCGACGGTGATCTTGTCCGGTAAAGACGGCGACGGAAAAATCTCGTTTAAAAAAAACGGCGAAACCCCGGTCTCCGATGATGGTGACATCCCAAAATTTTGAGAGAATACGCGTGATTAATTCATCTCGATGGTGAGGTTGATCGGAGGCCGATCGAATGAACCGTTGAAACGTCGTAAAAGATAAAAGCGTCCACTTAATTTCACATAATTTTTGTTCGCCTGGCTACTCTTCTCACACCCATTCACTGTCAATCTACCCGTTCTCTCCAATTTTCTTTTTTGTTTTCTCCACTATGTTTACATAAAACCTATGTTTTGTCATATGTACCTAAAAATTTTCTCATCTCAGAATTGCACTTTACCGCAATGAGACATATAAACAGGTCATGAGCAAAAATGCTCATTATTATCATTATCTCTTTTTGACTCCGAGATATTGTTAACAAACGAAGTCACGTGAAAAATGTTTTTTATTCAAAAAATGAAAATTCCCGTAATTCAGAGCAACATCGTATTTCGTCATTTTTTAGGCATAAATTACATGGACAATCTCGTAATTTACCTCTTTGATGGTCGTTTGCGATCTCAACGAAGGGAAATACGAGATTGGGATCGTAAATTACGTGATTGGAAAAATGTGAAGTGTGAAAAACCCTCGTAATTCACGGTATTTTTTTCGTCATTTACGATTTTAAAAGCGTAAATGATTGTTCGAGTCGTGAATTTCACGAGAACATTTTTTTGTGTGTATACTTCTGAAAAGTAAGCCTATATTGATTTCATAAGTATTTTTGTAAATTTTCCATCAGATGAAACACTCTTCACAAGTCCACTAAACTTCCTTTCTTCAAATATTTTGCCAAGTGTTCAAAAGTAAACTGATAAAAAGTGCGATTCGAAAAATTTCAACTTATCCATTCTTATAGAGTGGTATAGATGTCTGGAAGGTGATGAGAAATTCCTGAACTCCTTTCAAAAGAAATAACATATCTTCTGTTCATGTTTTAATATGTGGTTCAGCCAATTCCTACGAGACCAGAAGCTCGTCAGCTGTGGGTGATACATATCCAGTTAAAGCCTGGCGTGGTGAGTCAATGAAGAAACACATTATGCAGAACTATGAATTTATATCTCATATATCTTTCTTCCTACTTTATAGACATTACCCGCTGTATACGCCTATTGTAATGGTGCAAAAGGTGGATTATATACGGCCGTATTGGAAAGAATTGTGGAACTCGCACCGGCTTTGAAACGTAATTTACTCACAGTTATGACGGATTTTGAAGCCGCGGAGATTAATGCAATTCGACATGTGTTTCCCCATGTTCGTCTCCGATGCTGTTGGTTTCACTACAACCAAGTAAGTGACAGTGTAGTGCATATATTTTGTATGGAGCAAAAATTTGTAATTCTACAAAATCCAACAAAAAACAAGCAGAGGTTGTGAGCATAAGGCAGCGAGTACGTGATATACTTGAGTATTTCTTTCAATGTTTCATCGCCATCAATGAATTAATGGCATGCTTACGAACGACCAGAGAAAGTGCTCGAATATTTGCATGTACACTGATTGCTTTAAAAATAAATCTTTCAACTTGAAAATTTGCATTGACGATGAATCGAATTGGAACATTTGGTGAAAATTCTGAAAAATTTCTCATGATGAGGTATGTGATTTCAAATTGATTAAGATAGAGGTCTACAAAACGTATATTTTGAAAAACAAAATGAAATCCATTGAGTAGTTTTTGAGATATTTAAAAACTTGTTTTCAATATCTTCAGTGTTTGTCATCCAAGTCAGCCCATCGTCAATTCTAAACATTTTGTTGCCAAAATAAACTCCACATTCCTCGCAATTAAAATATCTCATGAACTAATGATACGATTCAGCCGTTCTCCCATACCAAACATTTCATTGCCAAGCAGAAACTTTATGCCGAATGTGAAGCTAATGAATCCTATTTTCGCAACGTCACCGTGATAACAAAATTGTTTAGCCAAAAATCAATAAATTGGAATATCTCGAAAATTTAGTTTGGATGGGTATACATATTTTGATCAATTGAGATGAAGTACATTGATACAATCATTTTGAGCGTTGAAAAATTATTATTATATATAATATATATATACCGACGGTAGTGGCCGTGCGGTTAGAGTGCTAGACTAGCATGCCAGAGATCCGGGTTCGATCCCGGGCACCGGCGGTCAAAAATTTATAGCGCTCTGATCTCACGGTTCCACTGCCGAGCGGTAGTCCTGTCAAAAGGACGACTGTACCTGGGCAGGTTTTTTCCCTCAGATGAGGTTTTTCCCTCCCTTCAAGCAAATGCGGTACAGGGGGTTGGGGGGGTGGGAAGGGAACCAACTAACCGTAAAGACCCGAAAGGGTATACGAGAGAAAAGAAATTTTTTAATATATATATATATATTATAATTTATTCAAAAGTTGCAGTGGGGCAACAGAACCTGAAATATTGAGGACAAAAAGTTAAGAGTCAAAGGGATGATATAGGGATATATATATTATATATATTATATTATATATTATGCTATACAATACAGAAGTTTATCTAGGCTGTCACGGCACGTTGGTATCACCTGGATCTCGATGAAGCACCCCAAATCATCCTTTTTTTTGCATGGCAATTGGCGTTGGCACCTTCGACAAGATACGAGGAAGGTCTCCGAATAATTGCGAAACGAATTGCATTACATGAAGACGAGTTTCCAAAATTACACCTGTTTCATAACTATCTTTTAACACAATGGCTACCCAAAGCATGTTTGCTATCAGTTTTTGAGGAAGATGATAGAACGAACAATCCAGCCGAAGCATGCAATCGCCATTTAACCAAAGAACTCGGAGGGTGTAAGCCTCCTCTGTGGACTCTACTGTGTATGTGTTAATTTTTGTCTTGGATTTCATTGTATATTTCGATATGAGTGGAACAATGCATGGGCTAAATTCGAATTATACGTTGCCAATTGCACGAAAAAAATAGCCGTCTCACATGCGTAAAGCAATATATTTTAACTATGAGATGACGTTCAACAAATTGCAAAACTGTGACGTTTTCTGTTACAAGAATACGAAAATATGTTCATGTCACTCGGCCCGCCCTAATCTCGTACTTTTATTGGCCTAGGGAGGTAAGTGGCCGCTTATCGCCTTCATTTTTACTTTCCTCCCTCGGGCAATAAAAGTACACGATTAGCCAGGCCTCGTAACATAAAATAACATATGCTACACGGTCTGAAAACCATTTCAGCAGCACACATGTTCAAAATTCGCGTCTGCGGCGCGGATTCTAATAACATGCGTCGTCACATTACTTTTCAACCCTTCTAACATAAATTACTATTTTATCACGATGTGCGGAAAAGTAACTCGTCTTCGGCTTGTGCTATAAACCTTCCACACGCCAAACATCACTTTTCTGAATTTCTTCCAAAATTTACTATATTATCATCTACTTTTCGGTCATAAAGAAGAGAACAGACACAATTTTGTACAAGAGAATGCAAGGCAAGTCATTTGGAGGTGAAGAGGTATATTGTATGGTTATGTGGTTACAGACAATTTGGATAAATACATAAAAGTCACAAATAATAAATTGACTCGTGTTCTGGCCAATGTAAAAATCTCCAAATCCTACCAAACCAAAAGACAACGAGAAGACAATGAGCGGATTGAACGGTGCCAAGCCAAGTTATCAAGTGGAGAGTACGTAATAAACAGAGTTGCCAGAAGGCGGTTTTTTAGTGGAAAATTTTTTTCGACTTAATACAGTCAGAATTAATCAAATGAAGTCGATGATGCGAATAATTGACACTTTTTAACTCACGAAGTCGATATTTCATTGAGGTCTTACTATGATTTACCCTATCCTTGAAAAATCAATAAGAATTTTCGGAAACGATCGTCATCAGGCAAACCTGGTCATAAAAGACTTAATATATCCGTATATCTCACAGTGCAATTCTCCATAATTCATTTTTTAAAAACACAGATATGACTTGGATAAATTTCTTTTTGAATCAATTAACAAACAACGACAACAAGAAATTTTTGAAGAAATAAAATTCCTACAAAAAGGTAAATAAATACTGATTTTATTTCATATCACCACCGGTATTGTTTTTCGTTGACAAAGGAGACCAAACCAAACGACAATTTATGTACAGATAACAGTGGTGTAGGATCACGAAATTTGGCTGCCACCGACATTCTCCTCGATGTTGAGAACGCAATTCAAGGTACCTGAAATGCTTCCCGTAATTAAATATTTTCACTTGATTGAATAATCGCTTTATTAAACGTAAATCAGGTTATCGTCTTAATCGTCACCTTTGCTTGCAAGAGAAAAAACTGAAGGCAAATACATGTTGGGATCAATTAACTCAATAATGGCATGGTAAAAATTAATGACGGGCACCGATGAATCACTCCCCTGCTGATAAATACCTTAATTAAAATACTGTCATTGAACCCTTACACTGAGAACGAATCAGCTGTACAAGTCTAGTAGATGTACTGAATATAGCAACAGATCATTAACTGACCATTATGTATTTCAGACCCTCCAAACGTGAGTATGTCTTTGCTTCCGAGCTCACGATTGCGACCTCAAAAAATAGAGAAGACCAAAAAAGCAACGTCAAGTGATACATTGCAGCAAATGACCGTGCAAGAGGCAAATCAACGGGTTCAGAACCTAGCTAATAAGAAAATGGAAGGATATGTTCAATTAGGTAGTCAAAAACTGTAGTTACTTGAAAGAAAAAGGTTTCATTGCCACCTTTCAACTCGCATCACTAATTATTCTGATCTGTTTCCAGAGGGTGAAGAATATGGGAGTAAGAAACGTCGAAAATGGAAGAGCAAGAGGGCAGGAACAAGAGGATGTTACACAGACCAACCGAATCTGAAAAACAAAAATATTGGTTTTAGGAGCACTAAGAACACTAAAAAAAAAAGTTCAGAAACTATAAAGGTTATGCAACCATTGCAAAATTCATCAAAAGCATCCGTTGAATTTGAGGAGAATTTTCATGGGGTAAGCCGGTCGTTTGCACCAGCAAATGTGATGAAGGAAGCCATTCCTGAAGAAAATGAGAAAGGTAAGTAAAGCATTCCGAGTTGAACAGTAAAAATCATCCCGAGCAGAAGAAAACCACCTTAGAACATGGGACCTCATCGTATCCATTGTTTTTAAAGTTAATCAAGTTTCTTTACTTATGTATGACAGGGAATTTTAATGATGATGGAGATTTCACGGATATTGAATTCTTGGATGAAAAATTGCTGCAGGAAATGGACGGAAATTGACTGACAATTTGCATGACATATGCCATGAAGAAAAAAAAGAATTCAGCTTGTGGGCGAGATTTGTTGATAGAGTTCTATGTATATTGCACGGAATAAGAAGTTGAGATTTTATAAGATAGTAACGGGATATTTTTCTTTCGATAAATATGCTCTAAAAATATAGAGCGATGCATATGAGACGCTTTCCCGTGGTTCTACTGTAAACTACATATCGAAATTGAGCGTGACCCTTTGTTGAGGTTTTGTCGGTAAATTTGCTCTAGAAGTATAGAGCGATGCATATGAGACGCTTTCCCGTGGTTCTACTGTAAACTACATATCGAAATTGAGCGTGACACTTTGTCGAGGTTTTGTCGATAAATTTGCTCTAGAAGTATAGAGCGATGCATATGAGACACTTTCCCGTGGTTCTACTGTAAACTACATATGGATATTCAGTGTGACCCTTAGTCGAGGTTTTGTCGATAAATTTGCTCTAAAAAAATAGAGCG